TTGTCTTGCAACAGTTTGTTGCAACTTGAAATCCAAGCGAGCACTGATGAGGAAAGACTGAAAAGTCAGAACATAAAGCATTAAACATGTACTAATTTCCTATATGTGGTAAAATTAGACTATTCCCTATTCTGTATAATCCTGTATTCCATTAACTGCAGCAGGGTACAGAACACCTCATCAGTTCAGCAGAGAGCTGCTATAGCATATGATGCTGATGTTCCTTTAATTCACTGCAAGTTTGTTTGAAAGAAGCTAAAAATACTTTGCTTATGTGGGGGAGCAGCAAAAGGATTTTCTGTACCTGTCCCAGGGATGTTGTTATGTGTGTGGTTCCTGTTTTCCCTGGGTAATTTATAATGGAAGAGGATCCCTCCAGAGATCCTCTAAAGAAACTGGGTAAAATTTGAGATAGTTGGATCTTTTTCTAGGTTCATTCACTACTCAGAATCATTCCTTGCAGTCGCCTTGGCCAGGGTTTCAGGTTAATTTATGACAACTGTCACTGAAAAACATTTGCTTTGCATAAAGCCAATGGAATTTTGCAAACTGAGATGTGCTTCTGGAATCCTTATGAAGGGAACTTTATTTCTTTTTGGTCTAAAATACTGTTTTCTTATCCTAAGGGTTTTATGTCCAGAAGCAGAGATTTCAAGCTGAAGATTTCTGATTAGTAGGCTCCTGGATGTTTGAAGTTGCTGTGTGGAAAGTTTGTGTGTGATGTTGTCTTAATCTACAAAGCAAGTTGATTATTTTCCACTTGTATTGAGAGCTCGTTATTAGGAAACTGTTCTCATACTCAGAGGAGTTTAATAATAGCTAATTACTTGCAGAAATATTTGCATGGTTTCTTTGCTATCCACCTCTACTAACTGCTGAGGTGAGATCAAAACTGATTCTACTTAACTTGTCTTGCCAGTTAAGACAGTACCAGCCCAGGCAAAAGGTCCATCAGCCAAGCATCCTGTCTCCTGGCTGTCTTTGGTGAAGTGTCTGTGTTTGGGTGCATTTGTCACTGGTTTCAGTGAAAACTTTAGGGAAGGATTCTGTCTCATGAAAAGAGACAGGAAAGAGCAGGCTTGGAAGTTATTGTGGGCAGAAATGCAAAGTATGAAAGGAAAAGAACCAGGAGAGAGCTGGTGCTGGCACTGTGTCCCTCACAGCTAGTTCCTTGGTTTTGCTGGAAACACTGAGAAATGGAAAAGAAATTTTTGGTAATGTCAGACTCTGTGTTCCTGTTCCTGCTGTGATTCCTTTAGCATCTATGCCAAAAGTGCATTTTGTTTTCTTTGAAGAATAGAAGATGTATTTGTGAGTCTCTTGTCCACTGTCCATCGCAAAAGCCTGGAGGACTCGTGTCTGTTCATTCAGAAACTTTTTCACTTGTCTGTATTAACATTTTTAAGCAATCTAAATAACACACAGGTTTGGAGAACTTGGGAAAATGCATAATGGGTAATTACATTGGTTGGAAATGAAGTATATTGAGTTTTCATTGTGGTCTATGTGCTTATACATTTCCTTCAGAGCAACAGTTTCATCATTTAAATGGATTTGCCCTTTCTTTAGTAAAAGTAAGTGAAGTATAAAGGTAAAAACTCTGGTACCTGATCCTCTTGAGCCTCTCCACTGCAAAGCCTTTGCCCTTAAGTGCAACCACATCGATTTAGAATGTTCTGTGACAGATTATTTTCTGAACCTCTTGAACTGACTTTTAAAATCCCCAGGTCATTGATGTGTTGTGATACCTACAGCAGCTAAACTGCTCGTGCAGAGAGGCTAGTGCCTAAGAAGCCAAAATCTGTCTTGTTATCCTTGTGTTCTCGTGTTTCTTTGTCCCAGGATGTTCCAGCAGAGCAGAAGGAAGTTTGCAGATAGAGGCAAGGAGTCATTTGAGTCCAGGATGCTGGCAGGATTTCCCAGCAGGAGCCTGCCAGCCTTATGGCTTGCAGATCCTGAGTGGAGTTAGAGCAAGGCAATTCCCAGGAAGGGAGCAGGAGAAGTGGTAGTTAACAGCAATGACTGCTGGAGCAGATTAATTTTTTCTAGCAGTTGGCTCTGTGAAGTTGAACTGAAATATCCAGCACAACTTTGGATTGGCTCTCCAGAGCTGATGTCTTGCTTTGAGCTTTTTAGGGCAGTGAACATAGCTGTGTTTGTGGATGCAAAGCCTGTCACGAAGCTCAAGGCTCTGCTCTGGTTTCCCAGGTGCAGTCAAGTTTAAAATATGGTAATAACTACTAGCTACAGGTTGTCTTTTAAATAAAGAGTTCCCAGTGAATGCTCACAGTGAACCTCTGCATCAGAGCTGGTTATGACACAGACATTTTAGGCTGAAATGAAGGTGGAAAGTGGCAGCCTGAGGTTGGGGGATTAGGGGGAGAGGCTCCAGTTTATTAAACAGCCTAAGAATAGGTGGTCAGTGACTTGCTCAGCTCTTCTCCCTGTGTTGTACTGAGAGCCTGGCTGTTGATGGCTTAGATTTCCATCCAGTTCGCTACAGGGTGATTGTACAAAGCCTCAGCATTTGTTCTGCAGTCTGTGAGGATGATTTGTCAAGTGTGATGCTTCACTTCACATTTGGCTTCCTTTTCAGAAAGAAAGTTAATCAGGAGAGAACGAGCTGCAGATGATCAGTGATCCATGGATAGTTAGAGCATGAGTATATGCTCCAAATACTGCCCAGTGATATTCCTGAGATGTTCTACTCTGCAAAATAGAGATTGAAGGCTAGATCTGGGTTTTGGGATGGGTTTTTTCCACTGTCCAGATGAAAAGGTTCGATGCTGTCTATTTTGAAGCAGGTTTCATTTTCAGAGATTGATATATTGGAGATTTACCTCAGCAAAATATTCCAAGCATCTTCCATTTAAACATCTGTCTTTTCTGCTTCCTCTCTCAAGGCCTCTGTGACAGGGAAAGGAACTCTGGCAACAAAAGAGTCAGTCTGCTATATAAAGTTTCCTGGCTGGAGCTCTCATGGTAAACGTGTCTTGATTACAGGCAAGCTCTGACCATTCTGCTGCTGCAATTGCTCCAGGCAGCTGAGGCTGAGGACTTGGAATGCACTGACACTCACAGCTCTTCCAGGCTTAGAATAGCCAACCTCTTTGGAAAATTACCTCATAAAAATCTCAGTAAAGAGGGCAAGAAATCCCCTCCCTCACCAGCTCTTCTCTCATGCCTGTGGTCAAAGCCCAGGGGATGCATCCAGTGCAGTGTGTATTCTAGGTGTGAAGCTATCTGAAAGGAAGAGGATGCTGGAGATACCTGCATGTGGCAAACTTTCTTGTGCTCCATCTCCTAAGAAAGACTGCTACATATAATTAACCTCGATTTTAAATAGTGATATAATAAGCCTCGATTTTCACACAGTGAACAAGTTTAATTACCACAGTCCATGATGGGCAGGTGAACTTCAGAGCTGAGAGATGTGGGACAGGAGCAGCTGAGAGGAGTGTGGTTTCTCTCATGTGCTGAAATGGTACCCACAAAAAAGCCTCTGTGATAGAACTGTGGCACTTGTGTACCTTTAGAAAAGGACAGTGGTGAGAACAGGCACTTGAACTCGGTCTGAAAATAAGCTTTCACCCTGCAGAATGTGAATACACTCGTAAAATAACTGTTTATAGTGATTGGGCTGGAGAATCTTGCCAACTTCTGTGACAACATAGCATGCATGAGAGATTTTTCCATGTTTGGAGGTACTTGGAAAGGAAACAGAGTCTTTTTGAGGCTTCATGCTTGAGCACGAACCCTTGTTCATTCCAAGGCTTCTATTGCATGTTATAATCACAATTAGACCAATTTATTAACACTCTAGAAAACTTGGGAGTTGTGGCTGAGGCCCTTTAACTGAAATACCCTGATGCAGAATTCTCTCAGTCTAGGGAGGATGTTCAACCCCTGAGAAAGTGATTTGAATATTAGAAAGCCTTAAAATCTCAACAGGAGATGCGAAGGAGGAGATTTGTAGGTGCCAAAAGGTTGGAGCAAAACGTCTGTTCACAGATTAATTCAGAATTGTTGATTCCAAGATGTGTAACTTATATCCATGTATAAAGGCCTCTGAGCTCAGAACAACAGCAGCAAAGCCCAGGGATGTGAAGCTGAGTGCCAGAGCTGTGCAGTTTGCCCTGTGTACAGCCAGAGCCATTCCAGTGGCCCATATTACAGAGAGCAAATAGGAACCAGGAGCATTAAATGACAATGAAACTTTCATTCCCTTCATGTTAACAAAGCAGACTGGCTGTTAGCAAGGCTCTGTGCATCCGTGGAGAAGGAACTGCCTGGGGGGACTATGTAAACATGGAATACAAATCCAGCCGTGCACAGGGATGGAAAGCTGACATGTGCTTCAAGGGATGAAGGATTGATGCTGGCAGGAAACACTTTCCTTGTGTGGAGCTTTTCACAGTTTGAGAAGTATTATGATTAGCTAATTGTTTGGAGTGACACCAAGCAGCAAGGAGCTGTGGCAGTGTCTGTTGTGTACGTTGTGTGACTGAGGTAGGAAAGCCCAAATGTGCTGTTTCCATGAGGCTCTGGAAGTGAGAGCAGCCCAAGAGGTACAGTGATGATCTGTAACTTGTCAAAACTGCCTTGTGACTCAAATTTCCAGCTCTGAGAAAAAGACCTATTAATGGTTTAGGAAAACTTGGAAGTTTGCATTTTGCAGGTCTCTTTTAAGTGTAAGTGGTGTCATCTTGTTTTTTGAGGCAGTGTCATAGTGAGTCCACAGCAAGTCCTGAATATGCACTTCCTTTATTTTTAAAAACCCATGAGCTATATCCTTCACTTGATTGCCTTTCCTTGTCTTTATTCCTCCTTTCAGATAAAAGGCTTTACTATTTTGTCATTACAGACTGACAGTACACACACACTGCCTCCCCAGAAACTTTAGTTGCTGTTTGGAAAGGAGTTACATTATCCAGCCCTCACTGTAATGAAATGTTGCCTGATAGAGGTTTATAATTTACTTCCTCCTCTTCTGAGGCTTTACCACATCTGTCCACCTCCCAGTGGCAGGGAGTTACTTAGCTTCAGTGTACAGACAGAGCCACTGGACTCTTAAAAGTACTTTGAACTTGGTTAAAGTGTTTTTTGTTTCAAATACTGGTTAAACATCTGTTCATTTCAAGTTCTAATAGGCTTTGAACTTGGTTAAAGTGCTTTTTGTTTCAAATACTGCTTGAACATCTGTTCATTTCAAGTTCTAATAGATTTTAAACTAAGGTTTAAATGTAGCCTGTTGCACAAGTCCCAGACAGATGAACTTATCTGCTCAATGGCTTCACACTGAGAGTAGGTTTAGACTGGATATTAGGAAGAAATTCTTCCCTGCGAGATGCTGAGGCACTGGTACAGGCTGCCCAGAGAAGCTGTGGCTGCTCCATCCCTGGAAGTGTTCCAGGCCAGGTTGGATGGGGCTTGGAGCAACCTGGGCTAGTGGAAGGTGTCCCTGCCCATGGCAGAGGGTTGGAATGAGATGAGCTTTAAAGTCCTTCTAACCCAAACCATTCTGGTATTCTGTGATGACTCACTGAGTCAATGATTCTATCACATTCCAGCTCTTTGATTAATCTATGGCATAGATAGGATAATTGACATTAGATTTGCAGTGGAGTTTTATCTATAAAGTAATTATAATCCCATGCAGAGATCTGGCACCTAAATACATGAGAGAAGCTGAATGAGTTAGGGATTGGGAGTGGGTGGGATTGCCTGAGCAAGAAGAAGTGAATTGGGAGGGTCTACTGATAGATAAGCAGGGAGACCAGGGAGAAGGAAGCTTCTGGTTTGGAACTAACTTGGATTTAATGGGTGAGTAGAGCCTGGAAGTCAGAGCAGAAACCTGAGAAGTAGAAAATAATCCTGAGCAGGTGAATGAAAAGCAGTGGGACCAAGGAGCTGTCCGGAGAGGACTAGTGTAGCAGACACAGGTTTTGTGCTCAGGCCTCAGTTATCTGTCCATGTGTGAGTAACACCTGGAACAGGACAACCTCATCATTTCAAACACCTTGTTGATAAATGAGCACATTGTGTTCTGGCCACTTGTTTATTGGCTCTACATCCTGATTTGATCCATTTCTTTCATCAGGTCATAATATTGAATTGCACAGTTGTGATGTCTAGTCCCCAGGACCTGTGTTATGTGTGATTCCAGACTCTTACAATAATTCATGTTACCTCTGAGCAGTTATGGCACAGACAAGTTCAGTTCTTCTGTTTGTTAACAATGGATTGGTTTTGCATTTATTAGTAAACTTTTGGGGGCTATATTGTACATTCACATGTGCACGAGTATGGTGAGGAGTGTTACTGTGTGCATACAGAGCAGTTTAAATGTCTGTCACATTTTTGCAGATCCTGATTTCCCTTTGAACTTGTTTTGAGCATCACTCATTGTGGTAAATTCTGTTCTCACTAATCCTATGTGAATTTTGTTAATTCTCTTAATTTCATGAAGTGCTTTGCTACTTGCAACCAACACAGGTTGGACTTGATGATCTCAGAGGTCTTTTCCAAGCTGACAGATTGATCCTGTGATTTTGTACCTATCCAGTCTTTGACAGTGGCACTCAGCACTGCCTTCTTGAGTCCTGGTTGTGTGCAGAGCACCCAGTCTGGCTGAAGCCTCTTGTTTTAATGCAGCCACATCTGTGCTTGTGTTTGCAGTTCAAATCCACGCCCAGTAAGAGCGTGTCGGTGGTGGGCTGGATGGTGATGATGGCAGATGACCCTGAGCATCCAGATCTCTTCCTGTTGACTGATTCTGAGAAGGGTAAGCAGTGCTAGCACCAGGGCTGCAGCCATTCCCAGGATTTGCTATGCTGAGGTCATTTGTAAGCATCTAAATGAGCAAGGTAACATCCTTCCAATTTCTACTCCTCTCCAAGATGTCACCTCTGCCTGTAGAATGCTATGGGAACAATAATCCATGGAGAATCCTTGAAGTCTTCATTAAAGTTCTAAGACCTCTCCAAACTCTAAACAACTCCAGCTGTGGTTTTATTGGAAGTGTTCATCTGCTTTCTTTTAAACTGTATTTAGAACAATTTGAGGCGTTTTCACATGTGTGAAAATGTAAGTAACAGTGAAAAAAACCATCCAGCTAACACTAGGTGCTTGACCAGCTCCTTCTCCTCTCCAAATGAGAAACAAAACCTAAACCATCTGTTCAAATGTAGTGCTATTACCAGGAAAAAACCCAAAGAGATCTAGACTGCTTTGTGGAGGAGCCTTTGGTTTTCCATTACTCCGGCACAGCTCCCTGGTTTCAGCTTCACCTCTGAAGAAAATGTTACTTCAAACTGTGCAGAAAGAGCATTATTGGAAGTTCTGACAAAGGAGCTTAGAATTATTTATTGCTTTGTCTGCTCCAAGTCTTAGTACATTTTATTGCCAAGGATCTATTCTAGCACTGCTGCTACGAGGTATGAATTCTGAATGCTTGTCAGCTTACACTCTGCAGCAGCAACCTGGAATGGTTTTGCAACCCTTGGCCTTTTCTGAACCCCAAGCAAGCACTGAAAACACTGGTCAGAAATTTATCAATATGCCTAGAAACAATTTTCAGCTGCAGCTTTCCAGAGTGCACATCAATGGTATCTTGCACTTCGTTAAAAAATGGTGACATTATAAACAAATTGCAGTAATTGCAATGAACAAACCCATTTTTGCTGTGTGGTCTTTCCTAGCTGACACCAGCATTACCTGAAATGTAGAATGTTGGAAAGGAAGAGACAAGCTGAAACTTCTCTTCACTAGGTCAAACAGTTGCACCTATTCCTGACAACATGTAAAGTTGTATGAACCTTCTGTCATTAAATATTTTCAGAGTGTTATAATTTAGAGCTACTTGAACATGGGTTGGATTTAAGTGCCTAGCATTGTTTCTTCAGCACTTTTTTTTTCTTTCTCACCTAGGAAATTCATACAAGTTTCAAGCTGGAAACAGAATGAATGCAATGCTCTGGTTTAAACACCTGAGTGCTGCCTGCCAAAGCAACAGACAACAGGTGAGAGGAGGATGCTGAAAAGGAATGAGCTGTTAAGAGCTCGGAACTTACAGATCTTTGAGCTGACTGAGCTTTGTGTGAAGAACAACCTGGGCTGAGCAGCCTGGACATCCGTTTCACATCTTATTGATTTGTGCCTCTGCAAACAACTCCTCAGAGCTTCTGTGGTAATGAAGAAAGATTTGGGGCTGCCTTGAGGCTAGTTTAAAGCAATTGGGGAAGTGAAAGGAATGCTCCAAACTGTCTGTCCTAATTTTTGTATTGCCCATTTGAAAAAGGCTGTTGTACAGTGTTACAAAAACTCAACTGGAGCATTCAATATCCATTCCAGATAACTCTCCTGTAGTGCCATATTTTTCAGGTTATGAAACTGCAAATTTTCTGTTCCTAAAATGTATTAAAAGTAGTTCAGCCCTTGGTACATTTTGCAGCCTCTGAAAGCAAAAGTAGTATTTTTCATGAATCAGAAAAGGAAGGTAAGACTATTCCAACCCCTATTAAATGCTGTTCCCACATAAATTCTTACTGACATTTTTCCTCAGCAAAAACCTTATTAAGTTACCACTTTGTCTCCCTGAACTCTCCCTTTTCCTTTGCACATTTGTTTATGGAGTTCCCAGAGCAGAAAGACTACTGAATTTCAGACCTTTCTACATCCTTCTGTGCTTTCTTGTTCAGTTCTGCTTTTGAGAAAGATGTTAAGGAGGATTGCAGAAGCTCACAGGAAGGTATGTGAGGCAGTGCAAAGGAGAGGAGATTGTGTTCCTGCCTGGAGGATGTGGAGATAGTAGCAAAGAGTGTGCAAGCAAGTGGTGACTCCTAGGCAAGCCTGAAAACTGCTCTCTGAAAACAGCTTTTATTCAGGAAGGTTTAACAATACTATTTAAGGCTGTTAACAGTGTGACTGCCTGAGCAAAATTGGATGTTTAAATGTGTTTTCAATAAGAGTACAAACACCTTCCCAGCTGAGTAACAGAACTGGTTTAATGCATCCTATTTTTGATTGCCATGGTGGGACTTCAGCCCAGTTGAGCACTTTTGCTTCTGCAGGTAAATGGTCAATGCAAAGCAAGAAACATTTGCTCCAAATCTGACCAAACTGGGTATCTATTGGCAGTCATCATGGTGGCTCTCCAGTAACCTGAGGAAACAGGAGATGTTGCTGTCAGGCAAATTCCTGATGAAGAGTAAAATGGGTATATAAACTAATGTGTTGCAAACTGGCTTTAATCTTCATGAAAGGGAGTGATGTCTGCAGCAGGCACTCAGGTTTCCCATGGGAAAAGCCCAGGCAAGTGTTTATGCCTCATTTTTAAAAAATTAATCTTAAAAATACTGCAGCAATCACTGACCTGTGTGCCCACAATTCTCTAGCTGGGGCTGCAGTGAGAGGGTTCTGCCTGTGTGCTTCAGTGCTGAGATTTATCATGTTGAGCTTGTTGTGCTGACAGTTTAAATCTTACATGTCATCAGAATTACTAAGTTCTATGGCCATATTATAAAATAATAAACCCACAGCAATTTGCTGTATTGGTTATTACCTGAGTTTTCTACAGCTCTAAGTGTATTTGTACTCCTGAACAATAGTTGTATCCTCCTCTCCTTTTTTTGAAGACAGAATGATGTGCACTTAAGCAGTCTGGGAAACAGCTGAATGTAAGCAGCTACTACCTGCAGTAAATTCTTCCCTCATTTATGTTTTTGTTTTCAGGTTCCTGCCAACTTGATGACCTTTGAATAACAGGCTGATTCAAAACAGAAAAAAAAAAATGAACAATTTGAACCATCTCATAACTGAGAACGAGGTCCTGATGAAAAATGTGCCAGCTGCATTCTGTGCCAGAACAGAGCCTGTCAACTCGATCTCTGAACTCTGGAGCCCTGAACAAAACCACTAATGTTGGGGAGTAGAGTCCCCCCCGGATCAAAAATGGAGTTGCAACATGCATTGCCATGGACCATGCTTCGTTCTGTTCTCTGAAATGACCTGTGGAAACCACTGCCTTAAAGAGTGAAAGGAAAACCAACATGAAACACCAAATAGTGTGTGTGAAACTTCTGGCGGTGCTGTGCTTGAGTTAAATAGATTGTAGCTAGTTTGAGTTTCTTTTAACTTTATACTAATTTTGAAAATAACTCACCTTTTTAGGCATTCTTAAGCAAACAGGTAAACTGGTATTTAAGAGTTGTATCAAAGCTATGTATGAACCAGGTAAAAGAGGTACTACATGTTCTAGAGATGTTGTTCAGACTATACCAGGAGTTCTGCACGGGAGCTTGTCCTAGGCACACTTAGCCTGGAGCAGTGTTATCTCTCTCAGACCTACCAGGGTAAGAAATGTCAGAACTGCAAGTTTACATCAGCAGTAACCTTGCAAACCTCGGGCCTGTCTGGGAGCCACTACAGCAGCAGAGGCTGAGCACTTACACACCAAAAGTGGTTTGGTACGTTGTGACCCAGTTCCTGGTTAAATCTCTGCGTGGTTGGGGTGGTTGGAGGGTGTGTGTGTGTATGTGTGTGTGGGTGTGTGTGTAAGAGACAAAACTGAAAGCACTGTTGGGTCAGAACTGAGTGTTTTCTTCCCATTTGTTTCTACACCTGTGACTCTCCTAGGTGCAAAATGAGAGAACACCACCTGGGTACAGCTCAGTTCTCTGGGTGTCTGTTAATTATCAGGTGGGGACCACTGGTAGTGTGTGGTGTTTCATCATGTCACTTAAGACCTACATTTTCAAAAGATAGAGGCACAATTTCAAGCTTTTCATGTTCTCATTTGGCAATAATTGACTTTAGTATCTGTCTTGGTCAAAATAGTTGACGTTGTGTGGTGTTGATAACGTGGCCTAAAGCAGACCTTACATGCAGAAGCTCTTTTGATCTTCAGGCAACTAATTTATTAGAAGGTAGGATAACCTAAGGAGGGAAAAGGTGTGGGACCATCAAAATTCTATCCTAGCCAGGAACCATTCTTGGCCACTGAAATTACTCACAGAGAAAAACCTTCTGGTTGTAAAAAGGGAGCTGTGCTTTATGTGTGTGTTTGATGCTTAAGGCTTTGATTCTTGCTTTATTGGGGTGTCCTTGATGTCACCTGATTTCCTGGATGATTCTTTACTCTTCAGAAATATGATCTGTGTAAAGCAAGGAAACACTGTCCAAAATATGACTCAATATCAGAGCTCTGAAGTCTGTGAACAAGCAGTGAGTGTTCCATTGCCATTGTGGTTTAGTGGCCGTAAATGTGCTTGCAGATTCCACCATGAATTCTCCTTTTTAAACAGAAACAAGCTACCTACCAGTCTGTTTCAGAGTTCTCTCACTATCCAATAAAGGTTTCTACTAGTAGTTGTTATTTTGAACATGTATATTTTTTTTTTTATTGTATCTGAGTAGAAGCCTATAAATTCACTTTTGGGTGTTTTATTCCCAGAGTCAAATTAATCTCGTAATGGAAGTGATTAATTTCTGATTTCTGGTGGGCACAAAAAGAGGATAATCCAGTCTGACAGTAAAAACACAAAACCAAAACACAAAACCCCCAACCACTTGGTGATGTAAAGGGTAATAGGTTGGTTTATGTTCCCAAGGATTGTTCTGAGTTGGCTCTTGGGAGAAAGCAAACAGTGGAAGGATGTTTCTGTTGGAACTACACCACAAGCACTCTGAGAATTTGGGTCCCTTTACAATCTTTTTGTTGCTGCTTTTTTATGGGGAATGAATAGTCTGTTCTGATCCTGAAGTCATGAATTTTGGGAAGGGGTTGCCTGTGCTGAATCCCTCTGCAGTTCCCACATCTCCCAAGTTTGCCCACGTTGGGTGTATAGTAAAGACAACATCTTCACAGCAGTGTTACTTAGTAGACTTTGCACATCTTTAGTTTGGGGTTTTTTTCCATTTTTGAAGTTGCTTAATGTGTGTTTCTTCTCAACAGCTAAGTGTTGTTTTGGGTTTTTTAGCAATGTGTGTCTTTTTTTTTAAGCATTGTGAATAATAGCCTGTGGATTTTGAATTTTTAAATAAGCTATTCTAGGTTCATTGCAGCATAACTTGTCTGTTCTTCTGTTAGTGAAAGGAAACATGTGAGTGGGAGCCACAGCCTGACAGCACACAGCTCTTAGAGGACAGAGCCAGGTCAGGACATGTCATTTATTACTGCTTTTTTTTGTGTTTCCCAGCTGCTTTGAGTTAGGTTTTTGTGGTAGGAAGATGGTGGGGAAAACAGTTCACAAATCATCCTTTAATGATTCGTTGCTGTTCCCAGTTCTCATTATCCTTAGGCCTCTGACTCTTCTTGTTTTCTACCCTCAGATACGCCGTTTGTCGCGGGAGAGATGGAATATTGTGGGAGGAGTTGGTTAAAATAACTGGAGTGAGTAATGACAACACAGAAAGCATTTTTGGCACTCCTTACAATGAGTAGTTCAGTACTTTGCTGTTGTTTATCGCCTGTTCAGCCACCTAGTCCTACAGGGCAACACCGAAACAGACATGTTATGTGTTTCCAGACAAATGGTGCTCAGAAAGAGGCAGTGGGTTTGTTCCCTGAGGGAAAGCTGCCTCAGCTAAGCTTCGGAGAGACTCAGCCAAGTCACTCTAAAGGACATAGTAATGCTCTAGGAGTTAGAAAATTAACTAAGTGAAGCCAGTGCTGAGAAAACAAGGACAGCAACGAGCTCCTGGTTGCAGGTAAGACTGTCAGCCAGGCTACTTCAGGCAGCTGCCAGTTCCTCTCTGGGTTTTATGCTTGATATGCTGCTCTCATTCTTTATCTTGTTAATAACTGCTGAAACACTTCAGCCAATGTGTGTCACTTTATTTCTGAATGCTTTGATTTGAAAGCTGAAGTTGCTCCTCTGCAAACCTTGGTTTGTTGGTCTACGAGCAAAAGGTGTTCAGAGTAGATCTCCTAGCAAGACTTCACATGTAACTGTTAATCATCTGCTGATTGCTAACCAGCTTTTGGCTAAACTGAAGGTTTTGGGAAAGGCTGAACACGAGGGAATGTCTGGTTAATGAAACTGGTGCAATGCATTAGAAATATGTGGCTGAATTCTTACTGCTAACTGCTATCTACTTTAATCCTTGCTGCTTTTGGCTGGGCTTTCAAACCTGACTTCTATCCCAGCATTCCTAGAAAGCAAATAAGGAGGTTTATTTTTTAAAATTCTGACAATTTGAATAACCATAACTCACCCCAGACACGTGTTGCAGTTCCCAGAGCAGCGTTGCTCGAGCTATTAGGAGTCATTAAGTATTTAGGTGCAAGTTATAGGCATTAAAGCCACAAATACTAAATGAATGCACATAAATACCTAATGAATGAGCTTTAGCACCCAGCTTTAAAACCCTCTTACTGGTAGCTCTTTGGAATTGCTGTGAAAATCATGTGCTGCTGCAGAAAGATCTGAGGAGAGAACTAGTGTGATGGCAGAGATCCTGTGTCCCCTCTGGAAAGAGCAGCCACAGAGGTTTTAGCCTCCTGCTTGGGGAATCAGTGTCTGCTCTGGGCAATCAGCTGATTAACTTTCCTCCTCAAAATGCAACTGCAGAGCACTTGAACTTTTCCCAAGGAAAGTGATTAGAGGACTATGCACATTGCAAACTTCTTGGGAGCAAAAGAAAGCATAAAACCCAAAGGGGTTTTATTACTTATCTATTCCTCACTAGAAGTAAATGCATCTAATCTAATCTTTCTTACCACATCAGCCTCCTCTATTTGCACTTACACATATTGAACAATACTTCTCCTCTGTTAGTATCAGACATAACCCATGTCAACAGCAAATCCCTTCCCTCCCAGCAGAAGCAGTGCAGGTGTTTGAGCTGCTGAGGCACTGGAGAAGTTGAGGTCCCTTTTGCTGCAGTCAACCAAAACCTTCTGTCAAATCTTCCCCAAATCAAGATAAGATAAAACATGGAATGTTGTTAAGATAAAACATGGGATGTTGTTTCTTCTGGCTCTTATTTCTTTGTCCTGTTTTCTGATGTTCTAACTCACCACCATTAGTAGCTCTGGTTTTTCCATGCCTGGCTGCACTGTGCTGCCTGGTGCAGCATCAGGCCCTCAGCACTGGTACCAAGTCACAGCAGTGAACTGCCTGCTCTCCCTACAAGGACAAGCTGTGACAGTTGGTTATTGTTTCAATATCACCTTTTTTCTTTCATTTTTCCCTAAAAGTGGGTTGTGCATATGGTGTTTTGGCCTGGGCGAGTTGTCATTAGAAGGCTCTGTATGAGTGGACATGGAATTTGTTCCTTTTCTTTGAAACCTTTGTTCTGGTTTGTGATGCTCCAAGAGGGTGAGTGCTTGGATCTGAGGACTTTTGTCAGTGCCTTATTATTACCTTGAAGACCAATTCCCTGTTGCAGTGCTGAGAGTCCCACCCTGGCAGACCTGCAGGCTGTGTCCTGGAAGCACCAAGGGGTGACATGGGTTGTGTTTCTGCAGCAGTCAATTGTTTTGGTCAGTGTGAAATAGCTGTGGCTTGAGTTACTTTTGTATAGTTTTTTTTTTTTCTGTGTTTGAATAGCCTCTTTTTAGGAAGAATGCAGCTAGGTAGCTTGGGCTTGTTCAGCTTTTATCGGGAGTAGCTCAGATCTCTTAAAAATTAATTTATTTTTATTTTGGGATGTCTCTGAGTAGATTTAGATTGGGGGGAAATGAAAAGAGTAGTCCAAGTCATGGTCTAGACCACATTATTAGAAAGGAGCTTGCTTTTCTCTCTCCCACTTTGATGTAAACACTGAAGAGCATTCTTAGGAGAAGATTTATTCCTCACAAGCTTTTTGTTAATGTGAAATGAATACCACTGGAAAAAACTGTTTGGGAGAAGAGGAGGCTTGGATAAATCTTAGTCTTAATATCCCCAAAGCTCAGTTGTGTATATTGTGTTCCTAGTGCCAACAGTGTGTGGAGAGCACTGTCCTTCACTCAGACAACTGCAGGAGCCTGTTCTAGCAGCAAAGCTTCAGGAGCTTTGGGAAGGGAAATGAAAGAATGTGTTGTTCTTAAGCAATTAAATATTTGTTTTCCTGGAATACATCCTTACCAAAACACAGCAGCATTACCACAATCTTTTTATAAATTCAGATGTTGGAAGGATCCTTTGCAAATTTATCTTTATGCTTTCTAAGAACCTTCCAAGACAACAGAAGGGTTAGGTCAAAGGAGAAAAGACAAATGACTCAGTTTAGCTGTGCCTGTGGCAGAACTGAGCTGACAAGTTTTCGTGAGGAGGAGAAGGTGTACAAAATGCAGGTTCCTGCAGATCATGCCATGGTTCTGGCTGTTAGCCTGGTCTGGCTCTGGAGTGACTAAAAGCACCATAAACACTCAGTTTCCTTCGTGTGTTTGATTAGCATATGATTTCTCTTGATTTGGGTACGTCCTGGCCTTCACCTGTGTTTCCTGAAGGAATTTCTTACCATTCCAAAGCTGTTCACAGCTGAAACTGCAGAGCAGAAAAGC